TTTTGCTTTTGCTGTTTGTTTTGCAGGTATTTCCCCTCTCTAATCTTCTAACAACCTTCACTTTTTATGAGGGCAAATATTCAAACAATCTTCACTTTTGAGTTCTTGTTTCTAGACGATTTTGAAGGTATGGCTGCAAACCTGCATCAATTTCCGAACACCCTAATGCTTTATTTCATCCAGCAATTGTCAAAAACGCTTCAATCATATCAGTGCATAAAACGCGAATGAAAACTATGTTGATGATTGTTACAGGACTATACATAGATACAGAGACTACATATAGATAGAGAGCATATAAAGAACCGTGGTTGCCACAAATGCGTCATTGTAGGAACATATTCCTACATTCCTTCGAACAAATGTCAGCATAGGCAGTTAAATAGCAAGCTTTCTGAGTCATTATGGAAGACAGTCAAAATATTCTTCAAAGCTCTCTAATTATTGTGCCAAAGCAAGCAAAGCATTTGAGAGTAAGCTGAACCCAGGTAAACAAGTGATATTTGAGAAAAATCCTAAATAACTTAGCTAAATTTTTTGACAGGAGGCAGGCAGATGAGAATAAGGAGTCTTTCAGGTTAGGTACAGTACCCACACTAATTATTCGACAGAAAACGCAAAAACTGACGATTCGCGTTTTTTTCGTTTTTTCTTCATAACTTCCTTCAAATTGCATAAAATACAAATCCGAAGAAAGCATGATGCTCAGCTCGTCAAGATGAATCTTCTGATGTATTGCACTCTCGTACTATTCTGTTTTTAATCTGGTCGATTTTTGTGTGAGGATGGGTATTCGTAGTGGTGTAACTCAGCGAAAAACACACATGGACGAATCAAGTAAACATGGGTCAGTAGTGCTGTCCCCGTAGATTATCATGTATTAGTGAGCAGCGAAGGATTCCCTTTCCATAGGGAAAGATAGGCCGTTTAATTTTGAAAAAATCGATGTCTCTGAAATTTTCGTTACCGTAACCCTACAGTAAGACGCTAATTTGCAAAGCAGGTGTGTTTTTCGTGATCAGCAGGTTAGATAACCTCTATGCGCAAGTTTTCCAAGGAATTCAGAACCTTTCATTTTTTCTCGTTCTAAGCTGTGAAGCTCGCCGACCGGTTTTGGCTAAAATATTGATGATCTTGGATTGACCGGAAACTTCGCTTATAGAGGTTTTCGGACTCGCTAATTACAGAAATAGTGCCCTCTGTGCAGCATAAGTTCTTTTGGCAGAGTTATGCTGAGAGGAATGCTGCGATACTACGCAAGTTCCTAAGTTTGTCTGCCCTTTGCGCGTGTCTGTTGGACAACTTACCTGCTCCTTTTTGTAATTTGAAATCAATAGAGGCAGTGCTCTTAGAGCATGCTTAAACTAGGCCTTTACCTATATTGGTCTCCGAACTGTGAGCTGACGAACTCACGTCCGCATGAAAATCGTTCGAAATTTTAAGATCGCACATTTTGGCCAAATATCGCCGCGAATGGTTACAGATGACTCTGATTGCAGATATTATGTTCATATACACATGTTAATTGCTGATTTATGCCGCATACTGCTGCTTACCCCTTGTGCCAACTCTTACACTTGTAACTCAAAGCTTACAAAAAATCGATAAGCCGATATCGACCGATGACGAAATGTAATCTATCAGACCAGTTCGGCTCCTAAGGCTAGGTTCATACTAATTCCCATGTTCGGGAACTGTTCCCGCACAGTTCCCAGCACAGTGCGGGAACATTGCGGGACTGTGCGGGAACAGTTCCGGAACATGGGAATTAGTATGAACCTAGCCTTAGGAGCCGAACTGGTCTGATAGATTACTTGCGTAGTATCGCAGCATTCCTCTCAGCATAACTCTGCCAAAAGAACTTATGCTGCACAGAGGGCACTATTTCTGTAATCAGCGAGTCCGAAAACCTCTATGGGCGAAGTTTCCGGTCAATCCAAGATCATCAATATTTTAGCCAAAACCGGTCGGCGAGCTTCACAGCTTAGAACGAGAAAAAATGAAAGGTTCTGAATTCCTTGGAAAACTTGCGCATAGAGGTTATCTAACCTGCTGATCACGAAAAACACACCTGCTTTGCAAATTAGCGTCTTACTGTAGGGTTACGGTAACGAAAATTTGAGAGACATCGATTTTTTCAAAATTAAACGGCCTATCTTTCCCTATGGAAAGGGAATCCTTCGCTGCTCACTAATACATGATAATCTACGGGGACAGCACTACTGACCCATGTTTACTTGATTCGTCCATGTGTGTTCTTCGCTGAGTTACACCACTACGAATACCCATCCTCACACAAAAATCGACCAGATTAAAAACAGAATAGTACGAGAGTGCAATACATCAGAAGATTCATCTTGACGAGCTGAGCATCATGCTTTCTTCGGATTTGTATTTTATGCAATTTGAAGGAAGTTATGAAGAAAAAACGAAAAAAACGCGGATCGTCAGTTTTTGCGTTTTCTGTCGAATAATTAGTGTGGGTACTGTAATAGGTTGAACCAAAAGTTCTTTCGCACCAAATTCAAAAATTCATAACTTTTGAAATTTCCAACCGATTTGACTGTTTTTATTTCTCTGTGAAAGAGCAAAGCATGCCCTTCATAACGACATCTTAGATGTTTACTATTGTTCATCTGTTGCATAGTAGAAGCGATAGAAGAAAATTGGTCAAACTTTGAATTTTCTGTGTAGGGTCATAAATAATCGGAGACTTGCAACAAAAATTGGAGCAGTTAGTATTGTAGGTTCTTTCACCAGCTCTTTTTACCGGTGCAAAGTTTGCGCTGATTGAGGGTCTCTATGAAAAGTCATGATTTTCGTGCAAGCAATAGAAAAAGGCGAATTTGATTTATTTTGGCATTTTTCAGGGAAATCGTAACTTTTCACAGAAACGCTCAATCGGCGCAAACTTTGCACTGTTAGAAAGAGCTGGTGAAAGAACAAATATCGACTGCTCCGATTTTTGCTGCAAGTTTCCGATTTTTTATGACCCTACACAGAAAATTCAAAGTTTCACCAATTTTTTTCTTTCGCTCCTATCTATGCAACAGTTGAACAATAGTGAGCAGCTAAGATGGGTTATAAAGAGCATGACTTGGTCTTTCATATAAAAGTAAAAGCAGTCAAATCGGTTGAAAAAAATCGGAAGTTATGAATTTTTGAATTTGGTGCGAAAGAACTTTCGGTTCAACCTAATATATTCAATCATCATGATTTTTTGCAACATATGTGGATCCTTGCCATTGTATTTCAAGATTTTTGTTTGATAACAATACTGATGAGACTGGAACGAGATTATTGTCACAGTTACGGCACTTAACACTATAAAGCGAATGGAGCACGACTGTATAGAGAATATAAACTTTGGGATAACCCCTAAACATCCGCTCGAAGTTTGACCCATACGAAGTCTAAAGCCGAAATCATATCAAAGTGGGACTTATTGTTACAGTCATTTTGAGAGTACGAGTTGCCTGCTCGGGGCTTTCTTGCGAAAAAATTGATATCTTTCGACCGTCAGACATTTGTAAGGCTGATTTATAGTTTTATAGGCCGTTTGCAAAATCGTGATGACGAATTTGACTGCGGTCTTTGCGCCCACAGGTGCGTAAAACAGTCATACAAAAAAACCTCACCTCAACGCGCTCAGTCACTTCCACTATCTATAGTCTATTACAGTATCTATTAGGTTGTAAAGAAAGTTCCCGGGCACTTTTGGAAATTCCATTTTCAAACGCCTTTTTTCGGCGCTCGGTCGGACTTTGACACCAAGTCTTTTACACTGTTCAGTAGAGGGAAGCCTGAAGTTTTCAATATCGCTTCTGATTTCTATCGAGGCCAAGACGTGTTTGACTTGTACACCAAAAAAGGCAATCTTTCCAAACATAAAAATTTTGCAATTTTTCTTCCTGCGCCCCTTTTTCCGTGCATTTCAAAGAATTCCGTCCAAATCATGAATGGTCTGATTGAGGAACCTGTCAACTTCTGACCCGCAGCTGCACTCGAGTTTTGCGATATGTGCTCAGAAATTACAAGCTGTCGAACTTGCCTCTGACTGCAACTCTTTTCGCAGTTGGCGTCGCTTCTGCGGGGATCGCCACGCCTAGGTGATAGGTCCAAAAGATGTGCAAGGCATTACCCCACCAATGTTGCCAGTAATCAAAGATTTGGCCCTTTCTGTGCAGAGCTAGAAGACTCCGAAGCCACTTACTCGAAAAATGATACATTTTTGGGGGCAAAAAATGGTAGATTTTTCAAACATTCTGGGGAAAATTTTTGTGCAGGTGATCCTTCAAAAAAAAAATGAATGGTTCTCATAACAGCTCCAACAGAACTCTATATAACTACAGCATCTGGACTCTCCAGCTGTTATCCTGCCTGAGATAATCCTGCGCAAATAGGCCACTTTTCGCGACGACCTTTTTCCCTTCTGCGCATGTTGGTGGACCGCAGTGAGGTGCTGAGAAGCCAGCAAGACAAATATATGTTGTGGACAAAATTGTCTTTGCAATGAAGTTTGCAGCTTCAAAAGAGAGTCAATCTGCTTGAAGTTACAGCGATTTGAAAAAAAATTTCGCAAGTGCCCAGGAACTTTCTTTACAACCTAATATATCATACCTAAGCAGAAACCACCCAAATATAGATGAAAATCAAGAAAATGCGATTGCCGGAAGTGCGTGCTTGTCGCGCGCTGTCGCGCCATCGCCCTGATTTTCCGAATGCTCTGTGCCCGCGAAGTGTAGAATCATTGCTTGATAGTGTAGAATTAATTCATGTTTGAAGAGCTTAACCCTTGTGTTATAACATTAGCACAAATAATGGCAATTGCGAAGTAAAGATCAGTGATTCTAAACCAATATCTTGCAGCGAGTAGTAGAATTATGCCCTGCGCCGGTTTAGCCGGCGATAATTTTCATGAAGGTAGTTATCATCTCCAGGTCGGAAAAGGTCAAAAAATTTATCGCATTTCAGCTGCATCGTAAATTGCAGGTTTTCAGGGATCTTTGAATTGCTGAACATTACAACTACGATAGCTGTCACAACAAACCCTCACTTGGATTCTTTGGCATATGCAATCGGCGAACCGACATTTCCAAGTTATGTACCAGGTTTGAATCTTGTTGCCAAATTTCTTTTCTCAAATTGATTCAAGCTAAAGCTCAAAGACACCATTGCGACCTTATAGTGAGCCATCATCTTCGCGCTCATACGCCTTGTCTTACAGGCATACTGAGCACTACAAGCGACAGAATGTCTTTCATTGGGAGACTGCAAAACATTATGGCTCTGTTGGTTGGTAGGGGTTTGATGCAATACCTTTATGAGGCTGAGGAAGAAGTCTTCGTAGCTCGTTACGGCTCATTCAAAAGCTATAACGTAAGTATTCGCGATTTATGTCCATTGCTTCTGCTTGTAAGAAGCTGAACTTGCGGAAATACTTAACGCTTGGTTTATGAGCGAGAAGAAGATAAGCGACAGTGTAAACAATGGAGTTAGACTCACTTATTGACAGTTTGTATATATTAAAGGATTAAAAAATCGTCTTCAGTACCCTCGCGGGCATGCGCCGAACGCACACTTTTTCATAGTCGAAGAGGCATGTGCGTGCTAACCAGTACAATGATGTCGATCGCACCTCTTCGCTTCCCTTGTCATAATTATTCTCAAACGACCGCCTTCGCCATTACAATACCCTCATCAGCGAAAGCTGAAAATGAAAGTAACTTTGCTGTAATCTTGAAATTAGAAGGCTGCTCATGTACTAGATGGTTCCATGAATTCATAGCGTTTTCGTTTTCGTCCTCACTTCTTTGGGGAGCAGTGATATGTGGCAAAACGCGTATGTCATTAAAACGGGCTGATTATGCTCTTCAATATGTACTTACTAATTCGAGTGGAAAGCTGATCTACTCGGATCTCTTGGCTTCTAAGTATGGAAATCTTAGAAGGCAAAAAGGACAATTTCGGCATGCACGCATTTTTTCCCCATTGAAAGAAGCGTTTTTGCAAAGATTCTTGCCGATTATGGAACATGGCGTTCGCCAATCACTGTGAGAAGAAAAATGTTTCGATTACTAGAAAAGGCAAAGGGCTGAGCAGGGATTCCCTGAACAAGTCTCTTCGGGGGATCTGAACGTCCTGCACTAGAAATTTCTGGACAAGAAGAAGACCGTCGACCATACCGTATGCAAGGTAGTTGCAACGTCCTAGCGAGGTCATATCGCAGAAAAAGCTAAAAAGACAGTTTCAGTGACTTTTGTGCATGACGAAACATGACCTCGTACGGCAAACGTCGTCAAAACTGTCCTGCAAGAAATGACTAGGAGGTACTTCGGCACCCAAAATACTCCTTAAACCTCGCTCTATCTGATTATCATTTGTTCTGCTCTCTCGCAAACCTTATAAATGGTGCATGTTTCATTTTCAGTGAGTAATTTGAGAGCTGGTTAGATGAACTTCTTGGGCGCGCTGCCGTTTGGAAAATTGCGATTGAAAAGCAGACAGGAATGTGGCAAAAGGTCGTGCGCTACGTTGAAGAATACATTATCGATTTTTTTGATTTTTGGTGGAAATTGATGATTTTGTTGATTTATGAAATTCTACGAACTCATGGAACGACCTAATAAAAAGCCCATCAATTACGAGTGGTTCTCCAATTATTGTATGGACAGTGGGAGACCAGTGTTATTCGAATATGAAAGGTTGAGATATACTTGACAATTCAGGCTCACTTTCAGACATCAATACATTGCCTGTATTGATAGCCTTATAACTAAGAGCACGTATTTTTTTCCTCAAAACTTCATTAGTACGTTTTTTGTAGGAGCTGCTTGCCCAGTCATCGTTTGCTTTCACGAATGGAAATCCCTATCTAGATTTTCCTCATCCGACATTGCATAAGACAGTAATGATTGGTGGATTCGTTGTCACCAGAGCCATGAAAAAGAAGCATACGCTACCAAAGGTATCCATAATGCTTTTGATGTTCTCATATTTACTATATCATTGATGCAGGAATACGACACCCTCCTGCGCGCTTACAAGCACACAATATTGATATCATTCGGATCGGTGGTGAGATCTGTAGATATGCCAGCAAACATCAAGTAGATGTTTCTTTGTGCGCAAAAAATAATGAAGGAGGAGTAAGTGCCACTTTTCTAGGCAAACACTTCTTCGCGTCTTTGCTCTGCTGCCGGATGTCGGCTTCATCTGGAAATATGAAGAACCAAATTCTACAATTGCCGACTCGTTGCCAAACGTTGTTGTCAGCCAATGGCTCCCTCAAATTGCCCTTTTGAGTACGAGCTGTTTCGTGTAGTCAAATCAGTCTTCGATAATCAAAATAGCATATGTCTTACAGAAGACGAGCGCGTATCGGCTTTTCTCACTCATGGTGGAGTTGGCAGTTGTAATGAAGTGGCGTACTCAGGCAAACCAGTGTTGGTGGTCAGCGCTTATGGAGTTTTTTTTTTCGGACACAGTATCAAGTTTTCGAGTAAAATGAACAATTCGGCTCTGTGATTTTAAAAATGTCAAGTAAGGGAATATACACAAATATGCTGAAACCGTAACTTCTTAGGTCCCAATATTTGGTGATCAGATGCGAAACGGTCACATGCTGGCTCGACATGGCGGGGCGCTTATTCTTGACAAATCGGATCTTGCTGATGTTGTGAAACTCAAAAATGCTTTCGAAGAGATTCTGCACAATTCCAAGTTTGTGTGCATAATTTTCGATAAGCAGGATTGTGCAGGGATTCAGATTATTAAATCAATTGTAAATACAATACCGCTCGTAATTTACTAAAAAAAGACGCACAGTCTGTGGCCATACCTGGCTAGAGAGGGGACGAATTCTTGATCTAAGGCACCATTCGACTCAGCTCGCGCGGCGCATCTACTGATATATGGAAGTGCCCGCTTGGACACTGTAGAAAGCCAGATTCCACAAATTTTCTTATTTTCTTACGGTAGGTTGCCAGTGACTGCAATGAAAAGCACACTGAGTAACCTATGTAAGCAAAAATCTGGATCGATTCGTGGAATCTGGCCTCCTACTGTGTCGAAGCGGTCAATGCGCTGCACCGAGTTGAGCCGAGTGGTGCCTTTGGATTACGAACTCGTCCATTCTAAAGTGAGATATAGCCACGTTAAGGTGATGTCACATGAATCGGGCGATGCGTCTTTTTTTTTTCACAAATTACGAGCACTATTGTATGTGTGCATAAGTGTAAGAAATTTTTAAAGCATATATGTGACTTTAGGTACAAGGAAAATGCGCTGAAGCTTTCACAGATGCTTCGAAATCAGCCGATCCCTCCCGAGCGGTTGCTCGTTACTCATGCGGAATTTGCAGCTAGGTTCGCTTGTTTTACTAATTCGTGATTTTTTTCGGTTTTGGTGCTATTTTCTTTTTTCTTTCAGATTTGGAAAATTGCCCAATCTCGACCCATATGGACGTCACCTTTACATGGCACAGTACTTTTTGCTAGACATAATAGCAGTTGCTATAGCTGCTGTAGCTATTATTTTGATAGTTGTTTTTGTGATAATAAGAAGATGTTGCTTCTTTCGCTCTACAAAAGTAAAAATGGAGTAAACACCGGAAGAGATTATTCACATTCTTCGTTTGGTGGATTCTTGTATTGTAGCTTTTAAATCATTGTACATTGAAGCCATATTTATAAGCTAAAGGGATTTTTCTCACAACAAATTATTGACACTGCAACTTGTAAGAAAGCTCATCTCAGCGAATTGCGGTACAAGACTGAGTCACTACCGAAAAGAAAAACTCCTAAAACCTAACTCCTTCTGACCTTCACAATATTTTCAAACGCAGCCTCAGTTTTGGAGGTTTCCATAAAACCCAGCGCTGCAAAGACAAGTAACAGTTTCGAGATCTAGAGATACTTTCTAGAGATCGGATAAGGAGACGGATCTTACTTGGAATTGTCTTGCGCATGTCTATCATATCTAAGGGCTGACACTTACTTTCATTATATCATAAGTGAAATATCAGACTTCTTTATGTAGAACCTTCTTTCCTTCAAATCCCAGGATCATCTCTTCTCTACGTGCGACATTGCTAGTGCAAAATCTATGCTGCCAAAAGTTGTTAGATGCAACTTGTTCGATAGCTATAGCCGCTACCTTTACAACGCTTCGATTCGGCTAAAAATGATAAACGTGCGGGTGCGGAAAAGCGGTCACCGAGGTGAGACGGTATGAATCGTCCAACATAGATAAACATGATACCCAACCAGCCTGACTGCAATTTCAAGGACAATGATCCCAATGAATTTTGCTATAAATTGGAAGCACGTGTACTCAGTGTGAAGCCTGAGAAAAACAGTAACTTATTCAAAGATAAAAATCATCAGCGGCGTTGGAACATAAAAGTGCGAAAGAAAAAGTTTTTTTTCATGCCAAAATGAAAACTTGAAAAAGCCTGTGTTTAGCTAAATAAAGGGTGACACAAAAGTAAGTACAAACTTTTTCGGTGATTTTCCCACGTAATCTCTTGCGTAGCTTCAAGTAACGTCCAGTAGACTGATGTGCAGTGTGGAGCAAGTCATTATCGCTTTTCTTATTGTAGGATTACGATGGAAAGTCAAATATACGGCGCCGTTACGGAATTGGCCTTTGGGGAAAGAAGTTTCAAAAAAAATCTGAGATGTTGTATAGCAGTGTCTTCGGACGTGGTGCTTTTTAAACAACTTTTTACGAGTTTTTAAAACATTTAAATGGTTAAATCACATTGTTAAGAGAAGTGCGTACGAATGCCATTTCCAAAATCAGCCACAAAGCTCATACTAATGATAAAGTTTTCTCCCATTGAAATTCGTTGCATACTATTGAGTTGATGCAAAAGTAACGGGGCACTTGTAGAATGAATGCAAACTCTCAAACAGAAAACCTAATTCAAAATCCAAGTTCCAGCAAATGTTAGTACATATGATCGAGGCCTATAAATGGGCACTGTCGCATGGCGTTATTTTTATGAGCGCTTAAAATCAAGGCTCATCGCTTCAAGTAATTTTGAACTTTGAGCAGCACCGCGGCATTAAAACAAGTGAGCCTACCAATAATATCTCCTCAGCAATCAATGAGGAGACATTCACCGAAACCACGATAGCCTGTGGACTTAACGCTTTAGAACAGAAGATATAACATTCGGTGTCAGGAGATATATTTATTCACTCAACAGGGTAATTAAGTGAGCTCACCCCTGACAGCTGTTGTCTGAGAGCTTTTTACGCTCTATCCATAAATATGTAATTTACCTCAGCTTTTCTCATTTCCAAAAATTTGTAAGTCAAAACGTAATTTTAGCGCGAAAATCTGCTCAAACATGTAACTTTTTCGAATAAAGTTCCCTTTTACATGAAATAATGGAGAATATTTGTAAATTTGAGAAATCACTATAAGATCTTGAGCTCTTTTGACTGAAATGTTATATGTCTAAAGACTGCCGGGTACAGCAGCAGAAATTCGGATGGCCAAAAAAACCGGCTGACTTTTTCGAGGCACCGCTCGAAAGATTGTGGGTGAGGTGCTGCAAGGTGCTGTCAGGATAAGCTGCGAATGTCACTTTGTACGAAAGCGTTTGAAATGCTGACTGTCATAGCTAATCAGAATGAGACCTTGAGAAATTTTCAAAAGTTTAAGGTGCCCATTACTTTCGGATCTTCCTAATATAAATTCAAATTAAAGGCTGCTCCGCAACGTTACATTGATCTAAGCAAAAGACTTTGTGGGAAGAGACTACTTACTTTCGAGACATCCTGTATGGGTACAAGTTTTCTTGTGGCCATGTTTTATGAACGCACCTCACCATACTCCATTTGACTGTTTTGCTTTTCCACGATTATGTGAAGAACTACTAACTAGTTCACTCGATGGTATGAATAGGCGCGCTGTAAATTGACCGTCCCAAAGTCCAAAACAAGCGTGGTGTAGAACAAACCAACAGTTTAATAAAAAGTAAAGAAAAAGTAATGAAAAACCTTAGAAAAACGGACAACCAGTGGATAGCATTAGTTTTCTAGATTTCCTTCATTATTTCCCTAATGATTCCGGAAGGGTTGCTTGGTTTCACACATGTTTAAACAAAGTGCATTTGCACCAAAATAGCTCTTGTATGACTACCCAACCACGTTCTCTCCTGCAATCTTCAAAGGATGTTCGCAAATGGCTAAAACAGATAGCTATCTTTTTGCCCTTGAAGCGCTAATTCCAGTCTGCGTATAAACCGAGGGCGGGTTGAATGAGAATTACATGCTTAAGACTTACACTTATTAGGATTCCGTTTCACTGTCACCAATGGGTTCAGCAAGATTGGCCGCCTATGCAGGAATAGGCCTATCATCCGTCTGCTTGATAGTTACTGTACTATATCTGCCAATCTTCATTTCGAAGATACAAGCCATTCAAACAAGACTAGCTAAGAATGTGGATGAATTCAACGTTATGGAGGTTTGTTGGTAATTTTTGTTCCACTTGATTGGATTCTCAAACCGTCAGCAGTGACCTCAATATAATTACCTTTGATTCATTTGTGACCTAATATGGGCACCGTACACCGCATGCGCTACTTCGCGACTTGAGAAATAAGGATCTGTGATCTTCAAAAATCTCCCCTTGTGTTTTTTAATCAATTGCACATATGCTGAATAGTAATATACTTTTCCTCATCATTGTGCTTAAAAAAGGTTCCACTGAAGTGCTAAAAAAGGTTCTACTGAAGTGCTACTATTAGGGTATCGTCGATGCCGCGCGTAGCGTCCAGGTTCACATATTTAGCTGTAAATGACGCGCTAGAATATATTAGGTTGGCTAAAAAATAAGTTCGGTCGTTTTTAGCGGTTTGTAGAATTGTCACAAATCAGTTTTTGTGTGTATGTCTAATACCACTGAAAAGAGCAAATCAAGGAGAATCGGAAGGTTAACTCTATTTTCTCAAAAATAATTTTTCTGATAATGAAATAATGAGGGAAAGAAAATTGGTTCGATTTTTTCTTCAAAATTTCGAAAATCACGCTCCGAAAAACGAACTGAAGTCAGATGTAAAGTGTGTAATGTAAAGTATAGATTCGCTACCGACACAGCAAATTTCTGAATTTCCAACCATTCGCATGGCCGTAGATGGCCAAATTTGAGTTATCTGGAATGCTCAAAATTTGACCTTCGCACGCAAATGCTGGAAATTTTCACAATTTTGACTGCAGAAATTCAGAAACAGCAGATCACAATCTTATTGTGGTTCGCCACCTAGCCAGAGGCTGTACAGGGCTCCTAAATTGCAGAGTCGTTTGCACCAGCGGTCGCGCGACCGCGTCGCGCCCGGGCATCAATGGCGCCGCCTCGATCGATGGCGCCGGCGCCGGCAAAATGCCCGGGCGCTACGCGGTCACGCGACCGCTGGTGCAAACGACTCTGCAATTTAGGAGCCCTGTATGTACCCAGCCACCAAATTACTCGCCTGTGTACTCACTGCAAACTGAGAACGAAAGCTAAAATTTCAAAAGAGCGATTTTTTAGAAGTCTGACCATATAAGGTTATAGCTGTCTTTTTTGCTAACACAAAATCTTGACTATTCAAATATCTAAGAGTGAAGGCTTGTAACTATCTTCTTACGAAAAAATCTTAGCTGAATAGCTGTTACTTGAATTGTTATGAAGCTTTGAATTTGCATGTCAAAACGACGAACTTATTTATTAGCCAACCTAATAATTCTATTGCAGTGTTTGATTGTAACTTTTTCTTTTTTGTATGTGAAAGTGACAGCCACAGAGAAACACAAATATTCCACGAAGCGAACGATAGAGATAACTTTAGGCAGAGATCTGGGTAGATTTACAACTAGCTCGCATTGAAGCACCAGCACGTACGCTAAATAAACGTCAAACGGAGGGAGAATGCGGTATAGCCCATCAATTATTGAATTACTTACATGGTACAATAGTTTCCATTTAGCGTGCAGTATGGGAAACGACTGTCCAAGTGGAGCGAAAGGCCGACCGGGCACGGATGGCATGGACGGTGTGCCAGGAGCTCCCGGTGAGCGCGGTGAAGTGGGTCTGCCCGGAATCACACCCCAGCTGCAAGTGAGCGCAGGCGGTTGCCGCATTTGCCCGGATGGACCGCAAGGGCTTCCTGGTTAGTCGACGGAGGAAATGTTGCTTATTTTGGTATCTCCAATAATCTGTTTCAGGTTATCCTGGAAAGCCTGGACCAGAAGGTCTGCCAGGTATTGCTGGTCCGCCAGGTACTGAAGGCCGCCCTGGAGCTGTCGGTGTGGCTGGCTCACTGGGACCTACTGGAGAACGCGGCCAAGCTGGCAAAGATGGAGAGCCCGGCCCACATGGATCCCCTGGAGTACGAGGAGAGAAGGGGTCTCCTGGAAAGCGTGGTCTTCAGGGTATGGTTGGACCTAGAGGATATCCTGGTCACACAGGCCCACCGGGGCAGGTTGGATCTATGGGAATTGTTGGAGAAACTGGACCTAATGGAAAAATAGGTGAGGCAATTAGCCACAAGTATAATGTAGATATGCAAAGATTCAGGCCCAAATGGATTCTCCGGCGCTCCAGGGAACTTTGGCGAACCTGGGTTGCCTGGAGAAGATGCTGGCTATTGTCGCTGCCCCGCTAAAAGCAAATCTGACCAGTATAGTTCGAAGTGAAAGCGTCTCAAATTTCTATGACACATTACAAAATTGTTACAAATCATATTTTGCTTCTCACTATAAATCTTCTCATGCTTCGGTCCCTATATGGTGTATCCGTAAGTTAAATTGACCGATAACCGCGTAACTTTGAAACGAGTCCTTTTCTTGGCAAATGGGATGTGATTGATGATTGTTTCATTTTTCCGGTATCACAACCGTCCTTCCTAATCGTTGCGATACCGGATGTTTTTGAGATAGTGAAATATCAGTTTCACTATCTCAAAAACTTTTTTCCTCAGCACGTATCCTAGCTCTATTTCCACAATAAAAAGTTTTCTTCTACTTAACGGTCAGTTTGCGACGAAATCACACGGTGAAAATCCTGCTTTTGATAATGATTACAGAGGTCAACACCAATTGCTTATTTTCTCAGAGCTAAGCAAAAGCATAGAACGCGTTTTATTGCTTTGCTCACTTGAAATCTAACAGGGCAACGACCCAACTTAAGGTGGCAAACTAGAATGAATCGCATCTTGTCAGATGCATCTTAATGAGCTGATTCCGAATCTGTCCTGCATATCTGCGATGCACTTCTTTGGAAGGAATGAGCAGCTAAAAATGTGAAGTCATGGGGTTTCAATGCATATTGGTTCGAATTTCAACTTCGTAGTGCACCTAGCATGAAATTGAGTGTACTGGTTCCTAGGAATTTGCAATCAAAGGAAAGAACATAAATAAGTATTAGGTTGGTGCAAAAGTAAAGCGCGTTTTGCGAATTTTCACTTTATGTGCTATAACTTTCTAAAAAATCAATATTTTTTAGTGCGGTAAAGACCATCAGAGGCATCAAATCTTTCTCAATACATAGCGCACATCCAACTATGCTCACACCACAAGCGGGCACAAAAATATGGATTGATAAGCAAACAACATTTTTCAAAATCCCCGTATTTAAGTGATCTTAACTCCCTTCAAAATTTGTTAGTTTAAATAACAATTAGCCTGTCTTGTAGCCGCATATGAATAGTACGAAAAGTTGAAAAGGGCTCAAACAAAGAAGATTTGCGAGAAGGAAAGGAATATGATTGAAAATTGTTCACTTATTTCGACATTTTTTCGTAGGCCTCGAAATCCCAAAATATGGAGATTTTTGATTTTTTGCGTACTGAACAATTAAAGATTTCTGCAAAAACTGTCAACAGGAGCCTTGCGCTCACACAAATGAGCAAAGCTTTGGGGATTGCCCTCCTCAAAGAAAATTTATGGTTCACAGAATGAACAAAACCACTAGCCATGCTGAGGCGCCAAAATCACAGTCTTGGTTCTAAGAAAATAGTAAAGCATGCATAATGTAGACAATTTCTTTTTCATATAGTAGCTAAATTTTAAAAAGACTGCGTTTATTCGCGTTTGAATCCTGACCAAAAAAGTAAGTGCGAGAAATTCCGCTTTCGAGTGCAGTTGTATGAAACTTTATTGATTCTTAACGAATGAGACTAGAAGCTCCTTTACCACCATTGAATAGGACATGGAAGGAGCTTCTTGATGGTGTGCTAAGTTTGTTTTAAAGGAGGAAGTTTGATGGAGAAAGTTGACATGAAACAAGGGCTAGAAAAAAGCGCATTACTTTTGCACCAAGCTAATATTTTTGTACAGTTGAAAAACAACTAAGGTACTTTGGTAAAAACTAATGAGCAATGAAAAGTCAAAATTTGGCAAATATACAGCGCTTCCTTGAGAATGAGTTGATCGGAAACGCTTCTTCATGGTTTCTTGAAATGTGAACATTCTTACGTTCTTTGAAATCAGTAGACTCAATATCATGGTCAATATCGTGCTAGTCATGCAATGCCAAGTTGGATTTCAAAGCACATTATGCACTAAGACCTCTATGACTTGATAGATTTAACCACACTTTTCCCAGAGAACGGCATCGCAGATATGGAAGGTAGACCTGGAGACACCTCATCACGACGATCTAGTGTTTTGCGGCTCATCTCATTCTGCCACCTCAAGTTGGGATCGTTCCCTTGTAACTATATAAATCCTAACGATATGCAGTTCACATACGCATAATGTACCTCCACATCAGGCCTGTGCTCGTGCTCGCCTTTTCCGTTCTTAAGTAGTCTACACACTCAGGAAAGCAGGTGAAGTGGTCACTATGTAGTATAGTGTGTGCCCTGGCAGGTTTCTCATAGGTAGTATCGCCGCGGCGCATACGCAACGCGCGTTCGGCCTGACGCCTCTCGTTCTACTTATCAACAAAAAGCATTTACGTGAGGTAGGAGCGAACTGAGAAGTGGAAGCCACTAAGGCTGCGTTCATACTGATTCCCATGTTCTGGAACTGTTCCCGCACAGTTCTCGCACTGTGCTGAAACTGTGCGGGAACTGTGCGGGAACTGTGCGGGGACAGTTCCAGAACTGTGCTGCATGCGCTGCAGCCGCCCCGCACGTTTTAAACGGCGGGAGTTGGAGAATTTTGACCGTTCTCAACGGTTTTTCTTCCAGATTTCGCCCATTTTGGCCTTATCCTCCAGCCCGCTTCCCTTTTTGATCAGCAGAACTGCGAACTCGAAGCGGGATTGAAGAATGAGCGCTTTTTTGCGCCGTGTATGCGGAAAGATGGGCTATCGTGCGATTGTTCATTCTGTCTTCTTGTTTTTTGCTCAAAACTCTTCATTTGTTCCAGGAAGCGGCTGCCCAGTTTCCATAGCCATCTGCCACGAATTAGGGAGTACGAGAAATCCTGAAATTGCATGAGTTAGGACTTGTCTCTTGTTTTTGATGATTTTGGACGTTCTCAGCCTTGTTCGTTTTTCCATATCGTTGCTTCTCCGTTCTTTCTTCTACCCCGCTTCTCCTAGTGATGAGAAAAGCTGTGAATTTGAAGCGGGGTTGAGGATTGAACGCTGTTCTGCTCCATGTATCGGGAATATGTGCCTTCGTGCGCTCGTCCATTCTCTCATCGCTGTTTTTGTTCAGACCTACTTCATGTGTACTAACAAGTCGCTGCTAGTCTCGCATCTGTATTGAAATTGAAATAGACAAGTCTTTAGAACACATGAAGTAGGTCTGAACAAAAATAGCGATGAGAGAATGGACGAGCCCACGAAGGCCCATATTCCCGGATACATGGAGCAGAACAGCGTTCAATCCTCAACCCCGCTTCAAATTCACAACTTTTCTCATCACTAGGAGAAGCGGGGTGGAAGAAAGAACGGAGAAGCAACGACATGGAAAAACGAACAAGGCTAAGAACGCCCAAAATCATGAAAAACAAGAGACAAGTCCCAACTCATGCATTTCAGGATTTCTCGTACTCCCTAATTCGTGGCAGATGGCTATGGAAACTGGGCAGCCGCTTCCTGGAACAAATGAAGTAGTTTTAAGCAAAAAACAAGAAGACAGAATGAACAATCGCACGATAGCCCATCTTTCCGAATACACGGCGCAGAAAAGCGCTCATTCTTCAACCCCGCTTCGAGTTCGCAGTTCTGCTGATCAAAAAGGGAAGCGGGGTGGAGGATTAAGGCCAAAATGAGCGAAATCTGGAAGAAAAACCGTTGAGAACGGTCAAAATTCTCCAACTCCCGCCGTTTAAAACGGTGCGGGGCGGTGCAGCGCATGCAGCACAGTTCTGGAACTGTTCCTTCCCGCACAGTTCACGCACAGTTTCAGCACAGTGCGAGAACTGTGCGGGAAGGAACAGTTCCAGAACATGGGAATCAGTATGAACGCAGCCTAATTCTAGTTCGAAAAGAGCCTGAGCAAGAAGAGAACTTTACAACTCCCACTAGCGCGCAGATTAGCCAGGCCCTATTAGTAGTCTCCTGCATGCCAGTATGAAAGTAATAATGTTGAAAATTGTTGAAGGAACAAGAAGTCGAGGATTACTCTTGAAACCGAGCAACTTAATATATACACATTTAGGCTGCGCATGACGAATGCGCTATATTTGGGCGCGAACTTGGTCTTGTTAGCATGTATCGTCGGCTGTGGCGATAGAGTCATTGAGTTATGTACGTTTTGAAATAAATATAGGGGTTCCCAATTAGAAAGAAAGGAAAATAAAGAAAATAAGAATAAATCACGGCTCCGGGATATCACCTCTAGGATATCACGGCTTGCGGATTTTACGGCTCGCGGAATTTTAATCTAGAGAGTTGAACTCAATCTAGAGAGATCGCGTCGAAAAAATCACGCTTTTCCACGGCTCGGAAGATCACGGCTGCGGAGATAAGCAAGGAAAACTGACCAATGATTATCGAGAGATATATTTCAGATGGAAAATGTCATTTTAACTGAGAATACCATATGGATACAAAACTCGGACACATCGCCTGATTCAGAAAGTAAGAAAGAAAACGAGAAAATGAAATAATAAAGAAGAAAATAACTACTTTGAGACATAGACGGTGAGGGCTGGTGCCGGCGGTAAGACTAACAAGGGAATGGTCCGAAATCGAAGTGGCCATTCCAGACAAGCTACGAAGCGTTAGATGCAGCATGAAGCGCTGACTCTGAATCTGTCTTCTTTATCTGCTTATCGCTTTTCTGGACGAAGTTATAAGCCATTGAAGACCATTATTTTGCTTAAAAATTATGCGTGAAATTGAAAATTTAGCCGTACAGAGTCTCGTTCGCCTCAATGCTAGGCCAAAACAGGCAGCCAGCTTACTTAAAATTTTTGAAGCCAGAAGCCGAGCTGGAAGTGCAACAATGTGCTCAATTTCGCTGTTTTCATGTATGATTTTTTCACAATAAAACCGCTTGTAGCTTCGTCCACAGAAGCAGGAAGCAGATAAGGAAGACAGATTCGAAGTTAGCGTTTTATACTGCATCGAATGATACACAGCTTCTTTGGTTTGGCCACTTCGACTTCTGACCATTCCCTTGTAAGCTAAGATCTGCATCTATGCTCTGAAGTTTTCCCAGTAGGAAAAATTGTGCAAAAATTTTGTACAAGCAGCCGGGATCTCCTTGTCAAGTTTATGAGTTAGCTAATCTCAT